TAAAACCCTAGGTTGACCAATTTTCAGAGACTCGGAAGTCTTATTCAGAATCTTAAAAGAGAGACGAGGAACGGTACCTGGCGGCAGGAGTTGGATCAACAGTTCCTGCTGAGCTGATTACCTCCTCCCTCATTTTCACGAATTGTTTCTGTTTTCGAAATTTTCAGGAACTGAGTTGAAACTTGAAAGGAAACAAAAACAAAAACAAAAACAAAAAAAATGGAAACTTTGCTTAAATCTTGCTTTTTATAATTGAGCGCTAACTGACATTAGTGCCATTTTGTTTATTAAAAATAAAAACTTTCACGTGGATTTTGTGGAATTTGGATCAGGTTCAGCCTACAACTTCTTTTTCGTTTCTGTAGTTTTTCCCTTTTTTTCCTTTTCTCAATGAAAAATTCAATTTTACCCCTCAATTTTAAATAGAATGCCAATGTTAACCTCTTTCAGCTTGCTAAATTGAAATTTCAATTTTCTTTTTAACAGAATTGAATTTTCAATTTGTATGTGTTAAACTAATACATTCTAAAAAAATGAATTGGAGGTAACGTTGAATCTAAAGGTTAAGATATCTATATCCAATCAAAATATTGTAATCAAATTAGAATTAAAATTTTATAAATACAGTTGCATCTCTCTTCTTGAAAAATTACAAGACCGACTAAAAATTGTAATTGATATAATCTAATTAGTAATTCAACATGTGTATAAGAGGTAATAGTATGGATCAAACAAAATTAAAAAGAAAGAAAGTTGATTGAATTAATAGTACAAATCATGGCATTAAAAAAAAAAAACATTTTTTCACTTGTTTATCATGTGCATCTAACTCTGGTTGAACTTTATCAACGATAGACCATTCTCATAATCACTGATATACTATTTTCATTTTGTCGATTTGATACATCATAATTGATTTTTTTTAGTACAACATGTAGAGATAGCAAAATATATCATAATTGATTTACCAAGTGGTAAATCGACAATGTAAACAGAATAATGATAGAAAAGGAAAGTTATCCAAACACTAACCTATCATTTTAATTTTATTGATGTGATATATTTATATGATAAATCAGTGATAAACCAAATATGGAATAATGCAAAAGAAACACAGGTAGAGAATGAAATTTTTATAGTCATCGTTATACTATTTTTATTGTATTGATATGGTATATTAGTGATAGATTGAATATTAAATAACATGTCTAACACCGATGGAAAATCAAACTTACATGATAATCGTTGATATATCATTTTCATTTAGTATATTAGTGATGTTGGTAAAACATTTTAATTACATTGATATGACATATCATTGATGTACCAAATATCAGATAAGTACGTAAAAAGAATACCAATAAAAATAAAAGTAATTACATAATTACTGTTACTATTATACCCTTTTTGTTTTATTGATATGATATATAGTAATATACTAAATATTAAATAAGCATGCAAATAGAATACCGATGGAAACCACCAAAGTAACATATCACTGTTTATCATTTTTATTCTATTGATATGGTATATCAATGATAGACAAAATTGTAAATCAAACGTGCAAAAAGAACATAGATTAGTTATTGATATATTGTTTTAATTCTAATACGGTACATCAGTGATATAATATATTGTTTTAATTCTATTGACGTGGTACATGAGTGATAGAATATATTGTTTTAATTCTAATGATGTGGTACATTAATGATAGATAAGATATTAAATAAGTGTCCAATAAGAACATCGGTAGAAAATGAAAGTTACCTAATCATGGTATTCTATTGTATGACATATTAGTGATATACGTTTATCACTAATAGAGTCTACCAGTAATAGACTCGTATCATTGATTTGGTAGTTGAAATACATATATCACCCGTACGATCTTTCACTAATAGACACATATCACCACCAATATGGTACATCTATGATAGATGCACGATGTTGAAATATTTTGATGGGCTTTTTCGACTTTTCATACATGTCTATTCGGGTTGGGTTTGAAATTGTGTTAAATTTGAGATGTCGTTACCTCGTGCCAAGATTTGTTATATTATACGTGGGGAATGTCAATTTTTTCTTTGTATTCAATTTTGAACAAAATTTAGGTGCATCTACATCCATCTTTCATTAACCCTCCAACGTCTAACAAGAGAAATGTTAATTGAGATGTTTTTTTTTTCTAAAAAAATTAAACGGCTAATAAAATTTTAATAGTGGTTATGTGCTAAGTCAGCAACTAAAGGTTGGTAACGTTTCTATTTCTTCTTTCTGTTTCTTTATTTTTAATGAAGAAAAATGTGTTGCATGGTTTCAACCTCTAAAAATTCATGTATGATAAAACAATATTTTTTATTTACGTTTGAAACAAATTGGAAATGGGAACAAGAAAAGAGAATCTTGTTTTGATTGTTTCCAAAATTTTTATACAATTATGAGAATGTTCCCAGAAAAGAAACAATAAATAAAGTTAGTTGTAAAATGCTTAAATTAATTAAGAAAATTGAAAACGAGAAACAAGAAATGGGAACAGGTCCTAAGTATTCGTCAACAATTTACCCCCAAAATAGTACGATCATTTTGGGTCAAAGATATTCATACTCCTCAAACAATCTACATCTTTTCAAATAGATACATAGGCAAAATGTTTAATTTTTTTGAGAGAAAACAGTGAAAGCAAGTTTCAATTACAATCTCCCAATAACCCAATATAATTTATACTAGAATTAAGTTTCTCAAATACAAATCCTATGATACGGATGATCAAGGACTAATTCTACATGATATAATACACAAAACAAAGATAAAATAACTATTTTGTAATGATTTTATTCATAGGAAAAAGAAAAGAACAATAGTGATTATTTAAACAGTAATGGATGAAACCATAACACAGAGTCAAGTAAGCAGTCAGCAAAGCAACATCCATCCAATCCGCGGGGAGAACTTATCATTCGTATCCAATGACAAGAATATCATATGATTTCAAAATCAACATACAAAAAGTGGACTGTAATATATTATCCACTCTCTTAAACTTCAACCGATATGAAACAATATAATTTACCTCGAGTGCGACACACTTGCACCTGCAATAGAAAGAAATGAAACATGTTTAATTCTTTTGTTTTCCCAAAATCAGTAATAAACAAGCCCCAGCAGCAGGGTGCAGCTATTTGTATGCATCAGAGTATACTTTTCATTCATGTATACAAGTAAGCCAACAGATGCTGCAACCTGAGCTTACTCCAAGATTTTTTTTTCTTAAATACAACTTACAATTTTATAGCCGAAAGTTACCTCCTCCATTCGATGATCCTAATTTCTCTCTCTATGTGGTATGGTCTTTAGTAGGGTGTTCTGTACAATCAATTCTGAGAGCTTGAATCATGTGTTTCGAGTAGTAATCTTGCAACCTTGATTGGGGATATATTTTTAGAGACCTTTGGCATGCTGTTTCACTCATAAAGTTTGTATTGCTTGTTGTTGGACGCGTTATTCCATCCTCCATTTGAGAACAAGGGAGAAGGTCTGGTAGAAGATAGTCTTTTTCGCTACTCGTAGAACATTTGGCTCGAAGAAGGGTGAAGACTCTCCTTTGAATATGACTAGGTTCAACGTCTCCCCCCTTTAGGTGTATGTTTCTAAAGAGTTAAGTCATTATCCTTTAGTTTCTTACCCCTGAGTTGGAGTCATTGCAATTATTCTTTAGCTTTTGTCTTTTGTTTTCGGTTTTGCATCGACTCCTTTAGAGGTGGACTAGTCTTTTCTTTTATTTAATTGTCCCTGCGTATTCTTTTATTTGCTCTATGAAAACTAAATTAAATGTCAAAGCTTCTAAACACCAAACTTGGGAATCAACCTTTTCCTAGGGAAATCTGAACATATCAGATTTAGAGGGCATATCAATCTGTAAGCATTTGCAGTACCTTAAGAGACAGAAAGCTAGAGGGGGACAAAGGAAAGAAGGAACCCAAACGGAAGAAATTAATGAACGAATTACGAACCACTGCTATCTTCTTCATCTGCATCCTCCTCATGTCTCCAGACAATGTCTTTCAGCCCGGTCTTGAGGTTCTTATAAAACTGAAAACAATTGCATATTATATGTAAGTCACTTAACACAAAGAATCGACATTATGCTGGGCAACAATTTCAACAGAATTAATCAGGTTTCTTTCTACGGATTATACTTCAGGGTTGCTGATGATTTTTGTTTCACTTTGGAGAATATAATTGCGTGATTGAATGCATTTGGACTCTAGAGACACATGAAAGTCAAAATCATGTTGAGGGCGCGATTATAGGCATCCATCGTATTAATTCACCAGACTGATTCTGAACCAAGTTTGTTACGGAATTATAATATCGAAAGATAGTTGTTTTACTCTCTAAGACACCAAGAGTTCATTGATGGTGGTCTTACCTTGTGAAATTCTAATGTATCTCCTCCAGCCTTGCGGACTTCAACCATGTACAGTGACGGAGCCACCTCATAAATCTGAAAATAACACCATCATAACCTAACTAATCTGCATCAAAGTTGACAAAATTTTACCCAAAAGATGCTTCTAAAATATAGAGAAGAAATGAAAAGGAGAAGCACCTCCGTGGCAACAGATAAGTGGCCTTTACGACCTGTTTTTTCGCCTTGAAGTTTCATCTGTGGGTACATAGTACAAAAATCAAATCAAGAACGAGAAGATTCACTCAGAAGACAATATGGAAAAAGAGTCCACTCTGTCCTCTACAACCAACATCTTTCTTCAAAATTTACCATCATCAACTTTATATGGAAAAATATCTTACCTTGTAGTTATTTTTCTTCACACCAAAACCCAATGGTGCTGCAGTTTCCTCAATTTTGGAAAGGATCTCTTTCGCAGGTCGATTGGATGTGAACCTTGTTTCCCTCTTAACGAGCCCCTGGTACCACAAGTTTCATCAACTCTCTTCAGTTCAAAAGTAAAATTTGTGAACAAACCACGACAAAAGAAGTTTGTAGACAATGGATAATCCAACTACTAGATTGCAATGTGACACTCCTTTATCGCAAGAAAAGAAAACTATTTTATCGAAGAGATGCAATACGACACTTTTTCTTTATAGGTAACTGGCTCTCACTCAATGCCACAACAAAGAACTAAAAGTTAAACACACCATTTGTTTCTCAAAAAGAGAACTGAGGTTGAGGCCTTGAGATTTAGAGATGAGCTCGAATGCATTCATCGTAAGAGGAGCAGCAGGTCGTCCTTCCTCTTTCCTTTCCACGACAAGACTACCAGAATCCTGAACGTCAAGGTCAATTTTAAGATCATGCCTAAATTATGGATTAGATATACCCAACTGTACTTAGCTTACCCCCGTTTCATTGAAGATAGCATCTACATCATCAAGAGTAATATCAGCTTGTTCAAAAGTGGGTGGCTTATATCCTTTTCTAAACCATTCATTTTCAATGACCTCTGGAATGGTAATTCTCTGTTGCAAAAATCAAGATTGTATAATAAACACAAATCTAATGGAAATCACAGTTTACCATTCAATAACAATAAAGCTCTAGTGACACACCACACATTTTCTCATTCCTAACGTATATAAACAGCATCAATATGAGCAATTTTCAGACTAATTTCAAGGCTGAGGGGGTTCAATAAGCATGTAAGTAGGGATAAAAGTTCTTATAGTTATTCTTACTCCATTTGATTAGATTAATATTATTTCTGCCTGCGCTCCAAATTCATTATCATTTAATTAGCATGGTCTTAGAGTATTTACACTTGAAGAAGAAAAACTCTGGGCCGTAAAGAACCAAAAAACATTCAAACCAAATTGAGAAAGAGATAAGGACACACCGTTGAGGGGTTGGGATCCAAAATTCTTTTGATTAGTTTCTTTGCATTTGTAGAGAACCACGGTGGACAAGTGAACTCAGCCTTGTGTATCTGGTGATAAAATAAACATGAAACTTAACAAAGAACCGTTAAAGAACATGCAATCAAGGAACCGGATATATAGTCATCTGTCAATATACAACTTGAATTCTTATTCAGCACTGTTATCCAAATAGAACATTACTCAAATACAGAGAATTAGAACAAAATGCAATAGAAAGTCGAATACCAATCACCTTTATTGAATATACAGAGAAATTCAACTGGATAACAATGATTTGAGATTGTGAAGTAAATAAAAGTATACATGCATATGTACGTGTGTGCATAATATATATATACACACACAAATACAGGTAAACGGTCCAATATCTTGATAAACAAATAGACAATGCAGTCATCAAGGTAATTGTTTATCTCAACTAGATGCCTAACCAATAATGGAAAGTTGCAGATTTGAGTGAGCAAAAGAACAATTCTCTAGTTTGAAGGGTTCTTAGCCCTAGTCAGAAAATTTTAGATCATAGTATCAGAAAGAAGCGAAAAGAGAGAAAAAGATGGCAACATAATATTTTTAAGACGGTTCAAGTAAACTTTAACAAAAAATCCAACAATGATGCTAACTTTCCTGTAATTCATAAAAACTAAATAATTTGAAGAGAAGAGAGGGATGTAATAACAAAAGAGATAAAATATATACAATGTACTTTACTGTCAACAGTTTTATATGCTGCTGGAGGGAACAAACATATCTATCTTAATTCATTATTCCATTTTGCCCATCTCATTTTAAAATATCTCATAAATATATGTTCTAAACAAGGGAAAATATTTTCAATTTTGACTCTTCCAAGAAATGCAGATGTCTGAATAAGGGTAAAAAAAACATTAAAAGAAGTTTAGGTGAATCCTAGATGTACTAGAATAAGAGCTTTTATATTCGCATTCAAGACAACATAAAATGGGGGAAATATATACAAGGAACATAACTTCAGTGAAAGTAAATAACGAGCATTTTATTTTCTCTTTTCTTCTTCTTGTTGCCTGTGGCAGATTGAGGAAAGGGAGACTTGCCTTCTTATACAGTGCAACCAGGTTGGAATCTTCGAAAGGCAAATAACCAGCCATCAAAACAAAAAGAATTACACCACATGACCACAAGTCTGCCTTTGCTCCGTCGTAGCCTTTGTTGTTGATCACCTAAAATATAATCTAATGGATTAGTTGTACGTAAACAAACACAATATACTTCAAGCAAAAGTTTATACAATATACCTCTGGAGCAACATAATTTGGTGTACCACATGTTGTGTGGAGTAATCCATCTTCCTGAAATTGAGTATTGAAAATCAGTTACAAATATTTCCATCAATAAATTAAGGAAAGATGGCCATTACAGAAATTGAGAAGTGACCATTTAATTTACAGTAATGGAGCTTTGGTAGGTGAAAACTAAATGGATTAGACGGCAGTTTTTTGAGTGCTTGTCACACTTGTTTTCAACTTCAAATAAAACCACAAAATGACAAAATTACAGTAAGTACATAATAACTAAATCCCCAAACTCACCCGAACTTGCTGAGGTAGTGCACTCAAACCAAAATCTGAAACTTTAAGAACCCCATTAGCATCAAGCAGCAAATTCTCTGGCTGAAATTGTGAATCATAACAACATTCTAATCCATTATTTAAGAAATTTTTGTTTTCAATGTCTTTAGTCAATTAGGAGGATTCATAAATATCTTTAAGAATGCACCTTTAGGTCTCTGTGAAAGACACCTCTGCTATGACAATAATCTACCGCATTAATAAGCTGTTGAAAATACTTTCTTGCTTCATCTTCCTTCATCCTGCCTCTACTAACCTGGTTCAAAAATAATAAACAAGAAATTAGAAGGAAAAGAAAAGCACTATTCGTGATAGCACATAACAATAGGTGGCAGAATACTGAAGCAATCATAATCTTACAATTTTGTCAAATAGTTCCCCACCAGTGACAAACTCCAACACAATGTATATTTTCGTCTTGCTAGCCATCACCTACACAAAAGATCTGCTAGATGTCATCTCAAATGCAAAATGTACATCAAAAATAACAGCCGAATTAGATTAAAATAACATAAAGGAAAGATAACGTGGAAATAAAAACATTAAAATTTTAAAATGATGAATGATAATGATATAGGTAAAACAGCAGGGCCACGTCTTACCTCAATCATGCGGATGACGTTTGGATGTCTAATTAATTTCATTGTTGATATCTCTCGTTTAATCTGCATAAAGCAAACCAAAACAATAAATGATAAATAATCATAAACTCAAGTGTTACAACAACTCATTATAAATAAAATCTAAAACCTTCCAAAAGACGGAAATGTAAGTATGACAAATAAAAGCTAAAGCTAAAGCATTCTTAGAACAATACCAGTGGTACTTAACAGGTTACTTCTTAATTCAATCAAGTTCTAAAATGCAAGATGTCCAAGAGTTCTGATTTTCACTTAACGCTTTTACTTCTGGACTAGTTTGATATGTACGGACATGAAAGCCAACCAAGAAGAATGATGAATGTTAAAATTATCTTGATATACCCATTAAATAAAAATCACAAAGTGGCAAATGGCTGTGTCCGGTTAGGACAATCACTCAGTAGGTGATTCATTTTAAAATAGCAACCAAACAACTTCTTTGTGTTTGTGTCGAGCTTATCAGTCACAACTCCGGCAGTAGACTTAAAATTAACGCAAGAAAAAGTTAAAAAGTCTGCAAATGTATAGAGCTTGGGCCGTAAATTGGGTGTTAACATACAAAACTTCCAAGTCAAACGTCTAAACCCACGTAACGCCATGGCCAAGTGCTTTAGAAATTACTTGGTCTTCGCCCTCAATATTATATTCTTTACTCGGTTTAAATTCTTTCAGATTCGACAAGAGAAATAGTAAACAATTACCCAACTGGTTATTTAGTCAGAAAATGACAAAATCACAATTAAACTTTTGACTTCTTCCAACTTTCACGAAACAAAGCAAAACAGAGCAGTAGTTACTTTCCCCTTTCTCCTCCATTTTCTCAGACAATCAAGCCCCACGTAAAAGTAAACCTTGGGGGACAAAGGGCAATTAAAAGTGGAATTTAGAAACGTTAATAGAGCAAAAAATACCTGACCGATCATCTTGTGCTTAAGAACTTTCTCCTTGTCGAGAATTTTGATCGCCACGTTCTCGCCGGTCTCCGGGTTCCGAGCAAACTTGACCTTGGCGAAGTTGCCCTCGCCTAGGGTTCTACCCAACTCGTATTTTCCCACGCGTGTTCTTCCACCATTGCTCGAACTCGATGCCTTCAATCTCCCACCGCCGCCGTCCATTTCCAATAATCGTCTCCTCTCTCTTTGACTCTCTTTCTCGCTCTCTCTCCCTCTCTAGATCCTCTCGATCAAGACCTCTTCTTCTTGCAGGGCTGCCATATCTGAGACTTCACCATCCTCATATTTCTCTTTTCCTTTTTAACAAGATTCGCTCCCCCAAGTAGAAGATCAAGCAAAAGCCAAAAGAGAAAGATGGAAAAAAAAATGAAACTCAATGATGGGGGACAACGAAAGAATTGCCTCTACCGACCGTCGGATCAGAAAAACCACCCATTGAATTCGGAGAGAATCGACGGACCATATAAAATCAAAGAGGAAAATTACCGGATTCGCAACAGGCAAACACGGCCCAAGAATCAAAAATCAAAAAGCAAAATAAAGAGATGAAGATAAAAAATGGGGAGAATCGAAAGAGGGGAATTTGGGGGAACAGTAATTCCAATTCCCAAAACAAGAAAAAGCAAAGAAATCCAAAAAGGGAAATGGATTGAATGCAGAGCAGGGAGTAAAATCAGAAAGGATTTTCCCCGGGAAGAAACGGCCTTGTTTCCACGATCTGGGAAAAAAAATGATAAATGAATTGGAGAAAGAGCTGATTGGATTCAAACTTGGAAGCCTGCGATCATTTACTTTCGGCCATGCCATGCCAAAAAAGTTTTGGGCAAGTAAGAAAAGTCAAAGCCCCTCAGTCACATTCTAAATTATTGTTAATATTTTATTATTTCACATTAATTTATTCAATTATGTACTCAAATATTTGTATACTAAATATATATATTATATGTAATGAAATATTGTTAATGTTATCCGATTTAGATTTCAAAATATATTATACATCTTTTAAAAAATAGACAAATATTTGGTATTGAAGTAACATTTAGAATTAGTTTGAAAAATATTGGTAGGGAAACGTAGATTGACGATTATGATGACTCTTATTGAATGATCATATGAAAGGTGATTCTTTTTAGACTTGAGGCCTCAATAATTATATGAAAAGAAAAGAGGGAGAGGTAGAGAAAACGTTTCAAGTTCCAGATGATGACATATGGAGAATGGTCGAGAAAGAAAAAATACTTCAAATTACATAATTAAAGACTCTTTTTTTTTTTTACATGACATAATTAAAGATTCATTGTTAATAACTTTAATAAATATGAAAACTTATTCAAAACATCATTTTTTTAAAGGGTAAATTCAACCTACAATCTGGAGGATAAAAGTTACGCATTTTCTCTTAATTGTGGCTATTATATATATATATATACTATATATATATATTCTTGTTTGGTATTTTCTTAATACAACAAACATAGGATCCAAGGAATTTAAATCTCTGGCCTGATAAAAGAAATTAAGTTGTATGAATTTATTTGTTAAGAATTATAAATAAAATTCTATTTTGATGATTTTTTTTCAAATAAAATTTGATGGTCTTAGATCCAACAATTTATTTAAATACTCACTCGATATTTAATAACTAAAATAACATGTAAATAAGTTGTAATTTAATTAACTTTCATTTTGCTTTAATTGAGATATTCACCCTACTTGACTAAATTATTCATAAATAATACTTAAATTCAATTATCTATTAATAGATATTTCATTATAAAATATTAAAGACCAATAACATGTCTGGATTGCAACAGAAGATCTTTAATTCGAAAAACTATTAACATATATATTTTCAACAACTAATCACAGACGACTTTTGTTCAACGAAGTTTTATAATGGTTTATTATTCCCACATTAATTAGCTTATAATACTGTGATACTCGTACAAAAAAATATAATTAGAGAAAATAAATAAATACTATGTTACAAAATAGAGGCAAATACATAATTGGTAAAATAAAATATGTATTTTTTAATACATGAGATAATCTAAAATTATACACAAATAGCACGAAAAAATAAAGTTCGTTTGAAAAGAAAAAAAAATACTCACATTTTCAAAAACACATAATAACTTAAATTCCTAACCTATACTGACAGTTTGATTTCTTCAACGTTTAATAAAATATAAGACATTTTATCAAAAAAAAAAAAGTAAATAAAGAAATAAAATATAACACATTGTAGATTTTACTAGACCATTATCATGTGCAATCCACGGTCCCTTTTTAAGTTATTTAATTATTATTTTTAGTTTTTTTTAATGAAATCCAAAACCTAAGCCAACATCTGACATTAAAAATTTTCTTATTTTAGCATTTTACATTTCCTTTTATATTTTCCTTCGTTTTTTTTTTTTGAGTATTGTTTTCCTTTGTTTTGAATTATAATATTCTTAATTTTATATATATACACATAATATACACATAATTCGTTTATGGTAAATCTTAATGAATTTGAAGCTAAACTTTTTTTAGCTTTAATATCTAAAATTTCAAATATATAGCTATTTTTAATTTCTTTTTAATTTTGAAAAATACATTTATCCTAATCTAGAAGGTTTTTTTAGTACAACATGTGGGATGGGGGAGGTATATGTCAATTACCGTTGAGTCATGTTCGCTTTGACAATCTAGAAGGTTAAACTTACCACTTTACTTCCGTTGAATTATGAATAAATTATTTGAACTATTAATAAAATTTAGTTAATTAAGGAGAGAGAAAATACTTTAACATTTATACAATTTATTGGTTATTACTGTGGCATTTAGAAATTGAGAGAGTGACAAAATCGTCTGGAACTACTGTTTTAGGAGTCTTTTAGTATATTATATATAGAAAGATTGTGGATGTGAAAATTGTTTGTGTTATTTTCATAAATCTTTTAATTAAAATATGATGTGATGTTGTGAAAATATAACCACGGGAGAGGTACATGTGAATCGAGTCGAACACCAATATTTTGAGGGAGAGAAATTCTAAGATCATGTAGGCATGATTAAGAAATGYTTAAAAGTTAAAATGATTAGTAATAACTATCTATACAAATAAGTTGCACGGCCTTTCTTTTCGGTGACTCGATTATAAAAACTTCAAAATTAAGCGTATTAGAATTCAGATTCCAAATATTTGTCTGAGTCTAATTCATTACATGAATTTTGAATATCGATAAGTATTTAAAGTTTAGTGTAATTGATCAAATGAGGGATTTTGTAGCAGTATTTTAAAAACGAACTAAAAAGATTAAGAGTGTGTAATGCCCCGGGCCCAGGATTCAGAATCCGGATACTAGTCCTTCATTTGGAGTTCTTACGATTGAGCCACCAAAAAGGAGGGTGCACCTTGTTGGTATAGGTAGTGACTATCTATTCTTTTAACCCTTTCTTGACCATTATTATATGATCTCAGGATCCCTCTCATTCGGATGTGATATCGGTTCATTCATGCACCCCTTCGCTCTAGTCGGGCGTTACATGAAATACAAAGAAATTAAGTGTTAATATTTGATATTTTGGGTACACATTAAGGAGACTATGTTGGTTTTTGAAGAAATTGCAGAAAAAGAAAAGTTAAAGAAAAAAAAAGGGGGTCTGAGGAAGAAAGAAGAACGAAGAAAGGGGCGTGGGTTTTGAGTGGAAGAAGAAGATGGGTTGTTGAAGAGAGAAACAAATTATTGTGGATTTAAAAGTAAATAAGAAAAGAAAAATAAATGGAATTTGTGAGTAGTTATTTTATTAAACGTTTTGGATACTATTATTGGAATTTGTGAGTAGCTTATTTTAGAAATATTTTTAGAAATATATTAAATTTCAAAAAAGTATATCTAAGGTATGTTTTAGCATTTCTGTTGAGAATTAAAGAAAATGTATTATAAATAATTATTTTAGAAATGCTTATTAGAATTGAGAAATGTTTTAYGATTTAGAAGAATGTTCGAGAAAAGTTATGAAATGTTATTTAAAAAGAGATTTCAGAAAATGATTTTAGAATTTCATGGAATGTGTTTAGAAAGAAATATTTCAGAAATGATTCGGTTGATTTTAGAGGCACAACATCGATGATCGATAGGTTTGTCATCCTAGATCTATGAAAAATCGATCGATCAATTGATAATAATAATATATTTATAGACGATAGTTTCCATCCGTACGATATACTATATAGGTATTATGCTCCTCTCTCTTGGCTCCTGATCTCTCTTGTACCATATACTCCTCTCTCTCTCATTCTTCTTCTTGATTTGCATGCACACCCCTCTCTCACTCGAGTTACTCCAATATGAATTTTTGCTTTCAAAGATAATTTTAAAAGACAAATTTTTTTTAAGTCCTTTTGTTGGGAACTTTATTTATTATTTCTTTTAAAAATTTGAATACGTTCATGGTTCGATATTCTGGTGTCCTAGACGTAGAAGAACCACACCAATCCATCCCGTACTTGGTGGTTAAACTCTACTGCGGGGAGGTCCTATGAAAAAATAGCTCGACGTCAGGATGATAAAAAACTTAACCCCTCTGATTCTTATTACTTTTTTATTTTTTATTTAACTGTTAAACTGCGAAGGAAATTCAAAGTTTACACCGGTGTATTATTAGTAAAAATCACGCAAAAAAAAGAAAGATCATATTTCGTTTGCTGCACATTTTGCTACGATTATTTATTATCATTATTTATTATTTACAATCACTACAATTTTATTGGATAAGATGTTAGACATCAACATATATGTTATTCTCTTGAAAAGGACTTGTATATTGTCCTCAACCAGATAATATATATCATCAGAATTCAGATGAACTAAAAAGAAAAAACAAAATCAAATACTATTATCTAATTTTGGTTTCTTATAAAAATGTTTTATCATTTTTAACAACAAATCTCCATTTTTTTTTTCTACTCTTAATATTATTCCCAAGTTTTAGCAAATTTATATCAAAATTTTGACAAACAAATAATTCTTTTGGAAACATTATTGAAGGCTACTTATATCGAAACCATTTAATTCTTATTAGAAGCGCAGCCGCAGCACTTAAAATTGCACAAAACATAAAATGGACGACAAAATTAAAGAACAGAAACAAGTAAAAACTTTCCACCATCTCTTGACCGGCGGCACCCGCATCCGCCGTCGACCCGATATATACAAACACCAATTCCGGCCAGGAAGGACCCGACCCGATCGGCGCAAAAAGCAAACAACAGATTCGGAGGGTTAATTCGCCGCGCCGCCCGAAGCAGCCATTGAAACTAGAAAATGGGGAAATTAGACCTCAAGGGGACCTGATTGAGATAGTATTTGGAATTAACGGCGGCGGAAGTTGCAGGAGAAGGCGGCGTCGCGGCCATGGGAGACATCGGTGAAGCAGCGGAGAATTTGTCGATCTTCAAGGAGGTGGAGGAGGAGGCTAGGGCTTCTCTGTAGTCTTCTTCGTTAATGGTGTCCAGAACTTTGGGGGTTCTGCGCCTCATGACGGAGACGACTTGAGGAGGGCAAGCCTCGCTTATAAACCTGGCCAATCGAGAAGTGGCTGCCATTTTTGAGAAATTTGCAGAAGATAGAAGGAAGAAGAAGAAGAAGAAGATTGTTCTGTAGAAGGAGATTGGCTTGTGGAGAAGAAAGCACGGGAAATGGGATTTTATAGAGAGAGTCCATGGCTACCACGCTTCCACGTCGCCATTTTCGACGCTCAGGATTTAATCTAGTAAGCCCAATTTTTTCTTTCTTTTA